ATCACGGATCGGTGCCGAAATTGTGCAAAAACATCCGATTAGCCTTGTTTTCTTCCAATCGCCTTYTTGYTTGCCYTRAATYGAAATACAAKAGTAATGAGTCCAATTAGGTACCAATTAAGTGTAAAATACTGAATATTGAGGGATAAACATATGACAAATTTTATTCTTATCAGAGATCCACACACCTTTTTCTTCCCACCCTTCAAGAGTTTTTTAGGAGTATTGTTTTTAACCTCATTTCTGCCTGACTTAATAGTATACATTTGGAATCTTTAGTTTCCTTGTTTGATCATGGAGATGGTGTGTCTATGAAGCCTCGGACTTCCGAAAACAACCTACCTCCCCTTACGAAGGATTTGATAGAAGACTAGTAGCAATAGCCAATCACTGGAGCATCGGGCAAGTATGAAGATAGCTGGGAGTTGGAGATCCTCACCAATAGGTTGTATGGCATTACTGATTAAGAGATTGTAATTAAGACCAAGCTAGAGGGGATCACTTCCAATCCCTAGCTGGTGGATTGTAGCATCCACTTGGAATAACAACATAACTGTTGGGAAATTGGGGTCACTAAAACTTGGAGGAGAAGTTCTAAGGCATGTCTGAAGACACTGTCTTTAGAACGTCATTTTCCCCCACTCAGTTCCATTGAGTTTGCTATTGGGTTACAAGCAAATCTATTCCCAGGATACAACAAAGCTTTGGGCGAGAATCTACAACCCGCAAAGCTGAAGAGTCTCCAAAGAAACCTTCTATTAGACAGTAGCAGATCGAACTGAGATAGGAGTGATTTCGAAAAGTTTGTGTGCATTTTCTTGATTCACACTCCTTAAATAATTTTTGAAGAGTCATAGAGAAGAGGAAAGTGCTGGATCAAAAAAGGCTCCTTGAATAGTCAAAATTTCAGACATTGTGATGAAGTGTGAGAAAAGTGCACCTCTAAAGTGCCTAATTGCACCGCACACATGCGTGTGCACACGTTGCACGGTAGCATGCCTCCATACTCTCCTATTTATTTCTAAGGAGTGTAAATAAGCTCCTATATAAAAACTCATAACAAGTTTTTTAATTTTCCAATGTGGGACAAGTTGAAATCTAGTTTTAGTAAGAGAAAAAGCTATTTTCCAAGTCCTATGTGCAGGTGTGTTTTTCATGTAATTGATAAATCAAACACCATTGGATTTAATTTCTAATGAGATTAAAATCCAGCAATGAAATTAAGGAAGTGCTCTGCCTACTCCTTCAATAGCCACACTAGCAAGTCCAATAGCAATAGAAGCAATAGTATCATTAGGTGAGGTTGATGCAACCATCATTAATCTTTGTAGTTTCTAAAGTACTAATTCAGTGTTCCAAACACCATATCCCCATAAATCTATGTTCTCTATGAGAAAAATGGCCTAAGTCAGTATGTCCACACCACCACCATCAATCATAGTAGCAGCAGAAGGATCAAGTGGCCTATCTGAGGCCCAATATTAACCGATAAAAGCCTACACAACTATGTGCAAGGTTTAACTGAAACCTGCCAAGGTAGATCCCTTGCCACCATGATCTAGCAAAACTGGTACACCACTCAGATTCATCAAAAACCTATAGGATGTGGGTGGTGTTTTATATCCATCATAGGTTTGTGATATTGCGTTGTTCCCATTGTAGGTCTTGGATAGCATTTTTTCTCATGACAGGTCTTGGATGGCATTCTGTGCTCATCGAAAGTGTATGAGCCTTACACTGCCTTAGTAAATTGTCATTGTACTATTACAGAGGTGTCTTGGTTACTCTAGAACCTCAGACATTGTTTATCATCTTGTTCGACTTGATCGTTGTATTCTCTCTGACTGGGATTTCTCTATGTAGTCCTTATCCAAGGTTTTTGTTGCAATTCCGATGATGACAAGTTACATGTACTTACTATTGGATTGTAATCTCATAAGAGAGTAAATCCAATGGGGTCTGATTGATCAATTACATGAGAACAGAGAAAAACTACACCCATGTCTTGGAAAATATTTTTTTCTCTTACTAAAACTAGTTTTGAACTTGTCCCACATTGGAAAATTACAAAAATTGTTTTGAGTTTTAAATAGGAGCTTATTTACACTCCTTAGAAATAAAGAGGAGAGTATGGAGGCTTTCTACCATGCAATGTGCCTGCACGCAAGTGCCCTTGTGTGCGGCACAATGAGGTGCTTTAGAGGCACACTTTGCTCGCACTTTGTGCACATTCACGTGTCTCGCGAAGAGCGGCTTTAACCTTTGGTGCAAGGCTGACCATTGATGTTTCAATGGTCATGATTCAATTGGGTGTGATTGAGAGGCACTATTCAATATTAACAGTCATTAACTGTTAACTACCTTTTTAGTAGTCACAATGTTTGAAATTGTGACTACTCATGGAGTTTTTTTTGAACCAACACCTTCCTCTGCTCCATGATTCTTCAGAAATTATTTAAGGAGTGTGAATCAAGCATTTGAACACAAGTTTTTGAAAAACACTTTTGTCTCTTTTAGTTCAATATGCTACTATCTCAAAGAAGGTTTCTTTGGAGACTCTTCAACTTTGCTGGTTGCAGATTCTTGCCCAAGGCTCTATTGTATCTTGGGAATGGATTTTCTTGTAACCCAATAGCAAACTCAGTAAAACTAAGTGGGGGCAAATAATGTTCTTAACATGGTGTCTTCCAATACACCTCAGAGCACTTCTCCTCTAAGTTTCCGTGACCCTAATTTTCCAACAATTTTGGAACATTATTTTGCAATGGAGGTAGAAACAAGCATGACTTCAATCAAGATGATGAACCAAGATCTTGTTCAACTTGACCAGTTTAATGGAACAAATTTCAATCAATGGTAAGACAAGATGATCTTCTATCTGACCACACTGAAGTTATATTATCTCTTGGATTCGAATCTACAACCTCTTCCTAAACTCACTGGAAAAAATACTAAAATGCTAAAGAATGAAGAGCAAAACAAGAAGAGGATTCACTTTTG